GTCCGGTCTCGCACCGACATGCCCTCAGCTTGTCAAGCACACCGCACTATGGTCCGAATAGCCCGTTTAAGCGGCAATAAATCGAAAAAGTGAAGTTTGGAAAAAGTTAGATTTTAAGCGGTAGATCGATAGTACATGCAGCAGAGAAGAATCCTGTAAAACTTCACTTCGATTAAAGCACTAATAGAGATGTGACAAGCCTGGGAAGTGCGGCGTGCGGAGCACTTTATGAGTGCGATTCCAGTTAACGAGCGGCAGTGGTGTGTTTAAAGGCTTGTTTTCGTCGTTTCACCGTACCTGAAAGTGTTTGGGCACTTGATTCACAAAATATAAGATAAGTTTAAGATGTTTCATGCTGAAACTGTTCTTTTTCTTCATATCTAATGTTCTAGATTAACCCTTAGACATAGTCACTTTTTTCAATAAATTCGCAAAAGTATGACCCAAAAAATATACTTCGCACCTCTGAGCACCTCGTACTTTTACTCGGAAGTTATTGTCATGACTCTAGACTACCTTTTAGTCTGAGTGGCAGAACCATAGTCCACCATAGCCTCAAATTATTTCTCATGAAAAATGACGTTTTCGCGTTTCTTAGCAGTCACCACTGTTAGCTATCATATGCCATTGACCATGCATTTTATCATGTTCCATTGTCATATTCTAGCAAATCGAATGCATTAGAGCCTAAATCTGCCCAGGGAGAATAATACGAGTTGATGGGGTTGATCGGGACCAATTGAAACTTGTGCTCAAGAACAGCAAAGAATCGCCTCGGGAGGCTACTTTGAGGCCCCGTAAATTTTTTTTTTTTGACGTTTTAAGTGTTTCAAACATATAATCTATCAGTGTAGATATATGTTAGCATAAGTTTAGCTTGGCAGACGAAAACAAGTCTAAACGGTTGATCGGTGGGACTTGAAAGTAAGGCTCCCGAGCAATGAAATTGTCTTAGGAAGCCACTTTGAGGTCCCGTAAACTTTTTTTTTTTTTTTCGTTTACCCGTGTTTCAAACAAATAATCTATCAAAATGGATATATTTCACCTTAAGTTTAGCTGGGCAGACGAAAACAAGTTCAAACGGCTAATCGGTGGGACTTGAAAGTAGGCCTCTGGAGCCATGAAACGTAGAAGTATTATCCTGAGCTGTCTTTTTCGACTTCCCTTGATAGTAGTGTTTGACGAGGCTCTACTTTTAGCTTCTTATAGTCCATCCAATGTAAAATTAATTTTTAAACTTATAAAAAAAAAATAAATAAATCTACCGAGCATCGAACCCGGGATATCAAGAAGACCAGTGAGACGCGATGTCAACTGCTCCACCGCGTCAACTTGAATTTCACGCCTCAATTTAAGGTTTCTGAACAAATTATTACCACACTTATATAAAGTATAAAAATGTTAAAAATGGATTTTTCTTGAAGAATATTAGCATTTTTGCACTCAGCGACCCTAAAAACACCTGAAAACTCATGTTGCGAGGTTTAAACATACATATCCGATTTCATGCCGCTTAAACCGGCTATTCGGACCATAGTGCACCGTTTCGATAGCATGCAAGTAGACACCCTCTTCTCATTCCTCACACTTTTCATCTACCTTCCAATCGGAAATAAACAAAATTACAGAATACACTCCTGTTCGACGTGTACAAGCTTAACGAGGAGACCTCATAAATGCCACCGTACACAATTAATGTTAAATACTCCATGTCCTGACACTTCCAACCGTTCCTCATTCAGTCCATCGACGACTCAACGGAGGTGTTCAGCCAACACCATATCAAGTGTCTCCTGCGGATAGGTGACTATTGGAATGCATCACTGCATCCACCATTCCGCCTTCCCCTTCCAGTTGATGGGTACGCCTCGCGGCTGCAATAAAGCCCATTTGGTTGGATCCTAGTCAACCTTCAGCGTACGGATTACGGCCCATTCAATTTCGGTACCTGCATCGACTTCCTTATGCGCCGTAGATCGCCAAGTTCTGCCATTCTTTACGTTCACCTGTTGAAGGCAAAGTACTGCTGCCACTTCGATAATACAATAATTGTCTTTCTAACGAAGTTGTCTTATGTGTTCACAGAAGCTGCATAGATGCCGAGCTCCATAGCTGATCCCGCAATCATGATATGTGCATTCAAATCGTCAACGTTTAATTTTAAACTTGTCTACCTCCGGTGATGCTCAATTTCCTTCATCTAACGATTCTGTCACATTCTGTCACACCACCCACCAGGAGTGAGCCACCATTGCCTTTACAGTAATAGGCATCCCATCGTGTTGTAAAAAGAAAATGAAATCTTTTCAATTAAAACCTGCTCCTTACTATCTTCCTCGTGTCTCGTCTTCGACCACTCGGCTTTCCTTTCCCCGCACCCAAGGAGCGGAGATTGCAACAACTTTCAACAAAAGCGTTTGATTCTTGCAAATAATACCGATTAGCATTTTTTGAATGTAAAAGTTCCGAAAAGTTGACAGAATTTTCGTATTATATACTTCCAAGAAATTTTCATCTTCCGGTCAACTTTTCGTCGATATATCGACGAAGCGGCACTTATAAGTGCCGCTTCTCGGCGATCCGATCGGAAGACAAAGTTACCACCTGCCGTGATTGCAAAATTGCCGCACCCCAATCGTTACAAATCTAAAGACAGGCAACCAGCAATACTTCGAAGCTGAGACATGTTTCCACTTACATGCAACTAGTTCGGACAACCGCAGCTCCTTCGGGCGAGGGACTACGCAATCTGCACATCAATCTACCCAAGTAGCACAGGTTGCAACAACTTGCAACGAAAGCGTTCGATTCTTACAACTCATAGATTGATGTGCAGAGCGCCTACCCTCCCTCTCGAAGGAGGTAGCATCGGCGGAAGTAGTTGCAAATAATGCGAAACATGGCTCAACTTCAAAGTATTGCTGGTTGCCTATCTTCAGATGGTAAACAACTTTGGTTCAGCAATTGACCAATCTCTGCTGATCCGACAACCCCGATCGACTATTCCTTCCGATCAGATGACCGAAAATTTGCCGTCACATCCTGCCTTAACGAATTTCTCAATTTCCGCTTATTGCCAGATTCATTTCACTTGATAGATAAAATGTAATTGTCGATTGAAAAACGTTCCTATTCAAATGGAAAATATCCGTTTCTGTTTGGACATTCTACGACTTCAAATGACAAGAAGGACTTCCCATTCGGTCATTTCTTCTTTTCATACAACACAAGAAAAGTCAGGCACATGTATGCCAGGATTCCTTCTCTAAAGGGATATCGGCACCGGGAGGCATATACGGGTAAAACATCAAAAGGGTTAATCTCCGATTATTTGAAGATTATTCCCACTTGATCGATAAAATCTACTTGTCCATCGAAAAACTTTCTCCTATTTAAGTGAGAAAAATATATATTTTCGTTTGAACATTTGATTCAGTCAAAAAAAAAAACAAACAAATTTCCACTCAACGATTTCTTCTTCGCATATGACAAGTAAAATCAGGACTATTAATGTCGCGGCCCCAGCCAGAGAGAGAACTCGGAGGACCAGGCCTATCCACCGAAGGGATTGTGGGCCTTCTCAGAGTCGCGATGACGTCGCGAGACAGTCACATGCGGGTTTCATCAGCGAGCGCCAGGGAGAAAAGAGAGAGAGGAAAAACCTAGTATCCACGTCTGGCATACTCAAACGTGCAAGAGAGAGAAGAGAGTATCCACATCTGATGCCATACTCAGAGAGAGAAAGAGACGGAGCAAAAAGGGAGCATCCACATTTGGCGTACTCAAAAAGAGATAGAACGAAAAGGGAGCATCCACATTTGGTGTGCTCAATAAGAGAGAGAAAGAAAAAGAGAGCATCAACATTTGGCGTGCTCAAAAAGAGAGAGAAAGAAAAAGGAGGATCCAAATTTGACGTGCTCAAAAAGAGAGAGAAAGAAAAGGGAGCATCCACGTTTGGCGTGCTTTAGAGTGAGAGAGAGCAAGAGGAAAGCATCCACATTTGGCGTGCTTTAAAGGGGGAGAGAGAGCAAGAGGAGAGCATCCACATTTGGCGTGCTTTAGAGGGGGAGAGAGAGCGAGAGAGAGTGCGTAGCAAAAACTGCAGAGAGACAGTAAGCGAATTTTCGCCATCGAATATCATTCACCGTTGAATGATATTCGACGATTGTGCATTTTATTTCAATTATATTCGACTTCTTCGTTGGTCTCACCAGAGACCGTTGAAATCCATCAATTTGAAATTTCGAATTCACCTAGGCCAAAAGACCAAAATTTTGACCAAATTTTGTTGGCAGACTTTACGGTCGACCGCAAGTTGAGCTTCAGACGTAAATTAGTCCAGGCGCCTGGTAGCTAAAAATGAGGCTACCTGGAATTTTGGGTACACAGCGATTTTTTTGGCTTACTTTATGTTTTTTGGGTCGCTGAATCCAAATCTGAAGTTTCCGCACGCGTTTCTGGTGAGCATTTTCCGCTATTTTGAAAAAATGGCCTATACAGGCCTTTTTTTGCGGTTTTTTTGATAAAGCGGCTACGAATGAGGAAAAGTCCCGGATTTAGCTAATGTTTTGAATAGCTGACAAAATTTGGAAGAAAATGGTATATAAATATGCTAGGTTTGCTCAAAAATTGAGGAATCTCGGATCTCGGAACATTGGAACGCTTCGGTCCTTAGCCTTAGCTGACCGCGGCGAGCCGGATCATGCGTTAACGGGTGCGCCGCGAAAACGTGAATGGGCGCGATGTTCACGATGCTGTATCTTCCTCAATTTTTAAGCAAACGTAACATATGTATACACCATTTTCTTCCAAATTATGTCAGCTATTCGAAACATTAGCTAAATCCGGGACTTTTTCTCATCCGTAGCCGCTATATCAAAAAAAACCGCAAAAAAAGGCCTTTTTAGGCCATTCTTTCAAAATAGCGGAAAATGGTCACCAGATACGCGTGCGGAAACTTCAGATTCGGATTCAGCGACCCAAAAAACATAAAGTAGGCCAAAAAAATCGCTGTGTACCCAAAATTCCAGGTAGACTTACCAGGCGCCTCGACTAAATAAGCTTTTCACCAGTAACCACAGGCCCGTCATCGGACGGTCCCACCTTGGTGGATGTTGCAAGAGCTCTGATGTGAGAAAACCCGCAAAAATTGGTGATAATTCAAAAGGTTTAGAGGTTATATTGAGATAAGAGATAAGCAAGCGTTTTATTAGGGATATTACGTACGTACTTTTGCACGTTGTTGGCCCGTGATAATTGTTAATTCTTTTCGTTATAATTGAGCAGCTGTGATATTGTTTTAACCTGTGATATTAGTTTTTAGATTTTTTACAAAACCTGTTTTTTCATTGTTAAATTGTTGTTTGTTACCTTTTTCTTTAAACTTTAATTTCGATAATGTCCAACCAAAGTGCGCGTTCTCTGAATTTCACGGGGGCGGAAAAGGAGAAGATACTCGAAATCGGTATGGAGTACTACGATCTTCTCCATTCCCCCCTGAACAATAGTGTGACCATGGCAGAGAAAAACCGAATCTACCAGCTGATGGCAGAGGAGGTCAACAAGGTTGGCCTCAACTCCAGATCAGTGAAACAGGTCAGACCATTTTATTTTTTGTTCAGTCATGTAAGATATTCGCTGTGGAGGTAAAATGATTTTCGCAGGATATTGTGTGCCGGAACTTGGATCCAAGGAGGTGTTTGTTCACTTCGGATCCAACTTCTAGCAGTACAAAGTCCGTTAACTCACATTCTACCAAATTACCCATCAAGTTATCATTCTCACAAGCCAGGAACACACAAACACATCACATTCATCAATTGCCCTGAACAGTAAATTTCCACGAAGCGAACTTCGTCCAGTCATGGTTAAATGGCAAGTATTACACTTACTTTACTCCGCTCAGCATCGATGTAAAGTTCCATTCTTGGCAGCTACGGATTACTGCATCCTCCCAATGACTTCAGGTATGTAATCTTTGAGAAAATTTTCCACTGCTTTTTCCTCGCATGCAGAGAAAACTGGTCTTTAAATATACCTATTTTTCCACGAGCCATGAGAAAAGCCCCAAAATTCCGAGTACTATACAAATCACTGATTACAGACAAAGGTGATAAAACTTGCCAAAGAAAAAGGGAAAGATGGTCCAACAGAACCCAACCTTTTGACACTGAAAATTTTTTGGAAATATTTTCAGTAAATCAGATACATTGTGGCCAAAAAGTAATGACAATCTCCTAGAGCTTGTCAGCATTTCCAGGTTTTTTGATCCTTCATCCACTGCTGGCACATGGAAAATTAGAGCTTCCTTTTACTCTTATTCAAGTTCCTTTCATTTGTCACCTCATCTCATCATCTCATACAGAAGTGTAATTTGGACGATTGAAGATTTGTTTTAGACCTCCACTAGATTTTTGGTGACTTTAAAATGCCCAAGATGTACAGAAAGTTTGGTGGTTTGCGCAAGTAAACATTAACCGCCACTGGAAACTGAGACATAAAAATTTCTTTAAGCGAAGCTTCCAGTTCGGCTGATTCTTTTAAGCTGCAGAGGGTCATAGAAAGAAGCAGAGGAGATGTTACCACTTACAATTCTTCAATGTGAGACACATAGAAAAATTATTTCTAACAACTTTAGGTAAGTAGAGGCAGCAATAAAGAAACTCACTAGAAAGTAATAGTATATGACACAAAAAGCCTCCTCATCTTGAAGAATTAATTTCAACACTTTCAATCCTTGAGGGGAAAAATATTCCAAAACTACAGGATTCACTTAGTGAAAAGAAAAGAAAACTACAGGAGAGAAATGCCCTAATCAACATTGAAGAATGAAATGTGTCGAAGTAAAACTTGACCCCTGCGATCACCTTTAAAATTCTTGGGAGGATTATGAAAGACAAAAAGTGACCCAATGATGATTTACATGATATGAGGTGCTAAGAGGACAAAGCGCATAATTGCAGTTTTTACTATTTCAAGGAACACAAGTTGGAAGTTTCGAAATTACCTGAATCCTTACAGTGGAAAGAAAGTTCAAACACACTTTAGGATGCTTAAAAATTGAAATTTGGGAACGAATTTCTCACAAAATATGCATTAACACTAGTTTCGCTTGAAACCATCCATATCTCTATTTTTTTAAAAACTGCACTCATGCGCCTCATCCTCCAAGCCCCTCATATATGCTGTTGCTTTCAGCAGCTTCTTATTTTATGTAATGTAGTAAGCCGTCATTAAATTAAAATAGGAAATTCTCACTTATGTCCGGTTCAATTGAAAATCACCCGAACAGACAATCTGGATGGGGCAAAAGTTTCAGGTTGAGAATTTGCATATATCACACTACTGCCAAAAGAAATATAATTTCTTGAGTCAAAGCCACTAAGTTGGAGCTTTCACAATAGCATTCCAATATTAAAATTAAGAGATCATTTGAGAACAATTGATTTTCACCATCGTATGTACCATTATTATTTCTCTTACCAACAAAGACTTAACTTTGAATTTTAAGCATCTTTAATGAGCCATCATAAGAGAATAATGATATAAGCACAAGATCACCAATTCTGATTGCAGCTAATCAATAATTGCGAATGAATGAAGCAATTTCTCAGAGAATTTAAATTGGAAATGTTGATTCGTTTTTCCTTAAAGCAATACAAATTGATCTAAGATTTACAACATCCCAATCTGAGTTACACATCTTTAGCCATTACTACAAAACTACAATGGTTGAATTACATGCTTTTCAAATTAAAAGAAATTCCCTTTCACTGACATTTATGCTGCTCGAAGTGAGTGATCGCACTAAGGTTGATAGATAGGTATTATTATTTTTAAAAAAAAAACAACAAAAAACAGTGAATCTAAATGCTTCCAAAAATTTTATCTCTTTATTGACTTTTCACATGAGAGACAAGACAGACACTAAGAATTTAACAAGATATTTGAAACCAGAACTTACAGAACATGACCAATCAACTAAGCAGAGTACAGCGAGAGTGATGACTTGTGATATAGTTGAGTCATGAAATTAACTCATGAGCAAGTCGCTACACTAAGTGGATACCCTTGAAAAACGAACAAGTCCTTTAATCCTCCATATATCGACAGTGGCAAGCTGGAAATTGAATACAATAACAATTCAGTAAGTAATAAAGTAACTAAACAGAAGACAGTAAGAGTGATTTAGAGGAAATGGTGGTAAGAGATGTGGTTATGCCTGGGGCGATAAGCAGGTTATCCAACTCATTTGATGAAAAACGAACGAATGCCTTAGCATTCGACGTTTCAAGTGACATCATCCATAAAATTGATTTTTTTTCTTTCCTTATAGATTAAAAAGAAGTATCAAGAATTGATACAAAACGCCACACGGAAGCAAAGGATTATAACAACAGAACGGAAAAGAACAGGGAACAAAAGAATGCGAGTTAGCTTGGACCACTTGGATGAGGAAATAATTAGAAAAGTTCCTCCAATGAAATACATCGGCATCTCAGGAGGTGTAGATTGTAAGTGTAATTGGATTTCACTAGTAATTGTAAGGTTACTTTCCTCAATTTCATACAAGAGATAATTGAATGAAAAAGAATTATTTAAGTGCAGTTTTTCAGAACAATCTTAGAAATACTCGAAAGAATGGCACTTTAATTTTTCGATTTTCAAAATATACATCTGACACTGTCAGCTTCTGACAGAGACCAACGAGAAGATTATGAATGAAGAGGCTATATTTTTATCTAAATAAATTCAAGGAGCTCTTGACAAAGCAAATTTGTTTCCCAGTTTTCAGCGGTTGAGCGGTTGAGCCCACCTGAAAATTTTCTTCACAAGTTCAATTCCTTTAAAGATACCATTCAGTAATTAATTTATCATGATTTGCTGTAAGCACTAGGTTCTACTGCTGAATAAATTAGGAACCGCCCAATTAAAAGACACTTGATTTTAACTGATCGAGAACGTATTGATTATACGATTGATTATAACCGACTTATGAGATCATGAATGTAAGCTGTCGAAGATTAGGACGGTTCAAAAACTTTGCCTTTTTGAATAATTAAATCAACAATGACGAGTTTGGATCTGATGTTGACATTATATTGTTGGGATTGCAGCATCAGCAGAAGGAACGCACTACTGCAACGTGTGGGATGAAGTGCAACAAGGAGATACACCAGATGAGGAGGTTCAACCTACGGACACACCTGATGAGGAAGAGGCATCTGGCGGAGACGGTAAGATGACCGATAAGAGACATTTTCAGAGGAATGGGTGTCCTTAAAGTGCTCCAACTGTTTGTGATACAAATAAACAAAAGCAGAGTATTCGAACTGTGAACCAAATTGCGCAGTCTCTGAAATGAAATACCAAAGATTGAAGATGAAATGCTTAAGAGTTTAATTGCTTAAAAGTTTGGTACCTCTAATTAAATTTTCAAAATTTTTTGGACAGTGCCCTGAGGATTGTATGATATTCATAATATTCATCTTAAATATTAAATATTACATTTCTAATTTTTCATCTCAAATTTAACATCTGGGTTTTCTGTTATCAATGCTACTTGTAATCGGGTATTCTCATTTTGTTCCATTTTCCCCTTTTTTGATTATACAGGGTTATACAAAAGTCACTGACCACCCCTGTAACTTTTTTCCAAATTGAGATAGAAGTTTGAAACTTTGGGAATGTTCCTCGGTCTAAAGTAGCAACTTTTTGGTCCCCCCAAAATTTTGGGGGGCGGCCCCCCTTAAGGGGGGCGGGGGCTAACTTTTTTTTTCAAATGGCAACCCCCCCTTTGTGATACCTCATTCGAAAGATAATAAAAAAAGAAAATTTTTGGCGCAAACCGCAGGTCAAAATGTTGATTTTTGACAAAATGGCGGCCGGTCAAAGTTCAAAATGGCGGAAATTTGGCATCTCCGTTGTTTATTGACGGATTGGTGTGAAACTCGGAATCCTAGGGTTTTTCGAGATGAGAAAAACGATTCTGGCATTGGTTTTCCAGAAAAGTCAGTCCTTTTCAAAATGGCGGCGGTCAAAATGGCGGCCTAGAGCGGGAAGTGGATATTTAGGCTGCATATCGTTGGATTTGCATGAAACTTGGTATCCGGGGGTATTTCGGCACGAGAAGAACGAATCTTTCATTGGATATCTGAAATTTTGACAAATTCCAAAATGGCGGCGGAAAAATGGCGGGAAATCAGTTTTACGGCTGTTTACCGATGGATTTGCATGAAATTCGATATCCTGGCGGTTTTTGGCTGGATTAAAAGGAATCTTTCATTAGATTCTTGAAATATCAAATAATTTCATGCTAATCCATCGGTAAAGAGCCGTAAAACTGATTTCCCGCAATTTTTCCGCCGCCATTTTGAAATTTGTCAGAATTTCAGATATCCAATGAAAGATTCGTTCTTCTCGTGCCGAAATACCCCCGGATACCAAGTTTCATGCAAATCCAACGATATGCAGCCTAAATATCCACTTCCCGCTCTAGGCCGCCATTTTGACCGCCGCCATTTTGCAAAGACTGACTTTTCTTGAAAACCAATGCCAGAATCGTTTTTCTCATCTCAAAAAACCCTAGAATTCCGAGTTTCACACCAATCCGTCAATAAAGAACGGAGATGCCAAATTTCCGCCATTTTGAACTTTGACCGGCCGCCATTTTGTCAAAAATGAACATTTTGACCTGCGGTTTGCGCCGAAAATTTTCTGTTTTTATTATCTTTCGAATGAGGTATCACAAAGGGGGGGTTGCCATTTGAAAAAAAAAAGTTAGCCCCCGCCCCCCTGAAGGGGGGCTGCCCCCCAAAATTTTGGGGGAACCAAAAAGTTGCTACTTTAGACCGAGGAACATTCTCAAAGTTTCAAACTTCTATCTCAATTTGGAAATAAGGTACAGGGGTGGTCAGTGACTTTTGGATAACCCTGTATTCAAAAAGAACAGTTGCATCTGGATTCCGAAGATGTGAAAATTGTCCGGGATGACGTCTTTTGCGGCCTTTTCTTATATGTAAGATGAATCTTTTGAATGTTTTTCAACCTTTAGTCATCCTCCGTAGGAATGTATCGTTTGTATTTTTGCTGCACTTTTCATTTTTGAAAATAACGTAAAAAAGTACACGATTAACGTTCTCGGTGACTTGTTCTTACGTTGCCAAATTTTCAAGAAAAATCGTCCTGAAGTGACACAAATTGGATTTACTATGACGTAGAAGTCTCTTGGAAGTGAATTATGACCTTGACTTTATATTATAATTATTATCATGACTTAATGCTACAGGCCGCTTACCCAAGATCAGAGTGTCCCAAAATTCTGCATGAAAGTCATTATTCATTTGCTAAAACCTTGAACGAAACTTGGCAACGTAAGGAAAAGTTACAAAGAACGTTGGAATGATGTACTTTCTTACGTTCTTTCATAAAATGTGAGTGCACGTTGTACACGGTTTTGGATTAAGTCTGACACGTCTAAAATTGAAAAAAAAAACTCTCAAAATTGGCAGAAATGGCAACAATGGATCGTAAGGCCCCTTAAAATTCATTACAAGCAATTTATACTGCCAAAAAGAAAAGCAAAGCAAAAATACAAACGATACATTCCTACGGAGGATGACTAAAGGTCGAAAAACATTAAAAAGATCCGTCTTACACATAAGAAAAGGCTGCAAAAGGTGACATCATGGACAATTTTCACATCTACGGAATCCAGATACAACTATGCTTTTTTATATGTGGTATAGATGGGTAAGATCTGTTACGTACGGCAATATTACAGTTGCACCCCACTTTCTTAAACTATGGCGTGGCGATTTATCCAATTTTCCAATATTTGGCTCTTTGGTACGATTTTTCTCGAAAATTTGGCAACGGAGGAAAAAGTTATAAATGAACGTTTATTCTTTTTTACGTTCTTTCCCTCAACTCGCACACTTTTCAGTTCACATTAGGTTTTACAGTAGAATTGAGAGTAAAATTGGAAAAAAACCCTAAATACGAGCCAAAAATGGCAACAATGGACCGCGAGGCCCCGAAAAATTCATCGGAGGCCTTTTTAAAGGCCAGAAATGAAAAGTTCGCAAAAAAATACGTAGGAATAACCTCGTAAAGCTTGAGGGAGGGAGTGTGCAAACGACTCCGAGCGGCGAGCGGCGCCCGGATTCCAGTCGGCGCGCGCGGAGCGTAAACTCAGATTGCTCATATCTCCGTTATTAATCGTTTCCCTGGGAGCTATAATATATCAAAAGAAATGGAAAAGTACGAATAATACAATGAACAGTTTTTTTTTCGAATCGAGAATCCGGCATTTGACAATGTACTAGGGTTGAAAAAAAATTGACCCTTAAGAAAGTGTGAAAAATGGCAACATTGCAATCTTAAATTACCTAAACGATCAAATTGAGTACATATTTCAAAAGAACGCAATTTTTTGAGAATTTTAACGCAAACCGCACCTCAATATCTCTTCGTTCAAAAGATATGCAACTCAACGGTTTTCAACTTGGCAACGCTGCTGCGCGGAGAGAAATTCGTTTCAGGCCTTGAAATTTTGGAAAAAGGCGTATCCCATAGTGAGGAATGACATACTGAAATTTGGTCAACATCCATGAGGGGGGAAATTTTGTCGATTTTGCATACACCCCTTTTTACAAGTCCGAAAATCCGAATTTTTTGCACAATCTGTCAACACGGTATCGAAAAATTTACTAATTTCTCGCCCCATCTGGCAACACCGTAAAATGCGATGTTGCAAAATTTCACCAATAATTAAATAATTTATTTATGTCCACTGTCCGGCAACGCTGCTGCGCCATCTTGGAAAATACACCGTTGCATAAACCGCATATTGAAGGGGCTACATTACACGATTGCATTACCCGATTATTGAAGGGGCAACATGCAATACTTTTACTTTACAGCGTTGCCATATTGAACAATAATCCCTATACAACACTGTAGTTTAATTTGTATTTTTCTGCACCATCATGCAACGCTGTTGGATTTTTTATCGAGCAAAGTCATCATTTTCTCCCTACTAGTTTATTATCTTTAAATCTCATGTCATGTCAATGGTGGTACTCATTTTCATGATGATTTTAATTAAAACCATTCACTGATGTTGAAAGGAAAGATGAACGTAAGCTGTTCTCACACGACTTAGGGCACGTCCGTCCTCTCCTCCAAGAGGGGCCCAAGCTTAAAAAACAAATATATCCACCACGTCAATGGATGTTTCCAACCTCCGAGAGTGGTTCAATCCAAAAATCTCGAAATTAACAAAACTGAACACAAGCGGTTTTTGCACGCAGCGATTCAATTGTGTCCTCCAGGGATTTGAAGCGCCATTGAGGTTATGCCGTACAGCATCGGCTCTAAGGGCTATTCCTGTCAAATCGGGTCTCAACTGCTAGTTGACGAACTACCAGTTAAAGGTAACCTCCAGTTCGACCTGAAGGAGAGTCTTGTCACTGATTTTCAACCTCTAGTTACTGGACAAAGACTACTTGCCAAATAGTGCATTAACATGATTTGTTCCCTCATATCCTACATCAGGTCGTATCTAATGTCTGGGAACCCTTGCCGAAAATTCAATTAGCAGTTGAAAGAGACGACAAAACAACCCTTGCAAAGAGGAGGGTGCGGGTGGTGGGGTCCACAACCCGAGCCCAGGTAGTTAAATCAGGCTCTTTGTGAACTAGTGAAACGCGAAGAACCGGAACGAATGTTTTGTCTGAAGTCCTAGTTGAAATCTAACAGGCAGAAAAAGCACCAGTTGAAACTCAGCCCGTTAACAGCCTCTCAACCAGTAGTTGTAAATTGACAAGACACACCAACCTCTAGTTGGACCTTAACAGACAGTCAACTACTAGTTAAATGATTTGACAGGAATGGCCCTAAGCATCCAGCATTAATGCTGTATGCCCAGGTAGCGGGCATGCGGCGCCGCGCCCAATGCGCGCAACCCGCCGGCCGGCGCCGGCTTCGAGCATCAATGCCCAATGCTGACGTGCCGGCCGGGCCAGCATTAAGCGCTGATGCTGAGGTTTGATGCTACGTAAGGGACAAAAATGCGCTTTACCTTTTGATGATGGAGCCTCGGCTCTCAGTCCGATGCGGCATCCATTTTCGGTCCCGCGACCCAGCCTCATTACCGACGGGGCTGTCCCAGAAGACTGCCGGGATATGCGATCCTTGGACTTGGCGATGCATTCGCGGAACACCCCTTTGTCTACGTATCCCATCGGCGCAGCGGCCCCCGCCTCGCCGGGAAGTTCCAAGAAGTGGACGCCGAGGAAGGGTTGAAAACACAGCCAGGTGC